TCCGCTAAGCCACGCCCCCAGTGACCACTGCCTACTAGGCCACGCCCCAGTGACCTAACCTCCTCCCACTAGTCCATGCCCCCATGATCTCACTTCCCTCGCACTAATTATCTCACTTCCTGCTAGGCCACGCCCCTGGTGACCTCACCTCCACTGGGCCACGCCCCCCAGCGACCTCACTGTTTCCTGCTGGTTTCCACCCCCGCATGACCTCACTTCCTCCCACTCTCCCGACCTCTGAGATTCCACCCGAACTACAGGGACTAAGCCTTCAATGGTGGATCCCAACCACAGCGTTCACCACTGACCCTCAAAAGCATGTGGCCATCTGACAATGCAAAATGCATTCACCCCATCTCCCGGTGTCCCCAAGGCTGACAGTCCCAGCGTGACTCTAAAGGAGGACAGGTGGCTTTGGCTCAGGGGTGCAGCCATGGTCACTGCTCCAAGGCAGGAGCATCATGGTGGACGGTGTGGGGAGGAGACATGCTCCCATCATGGTGGCCGGGAAGCAGGGAGAGAAGGGAGGAGCCCCAGAACACAGCTTAAAGAGGGAGCTCAGTGTGGCTCACGGTGCAGAGGGTGCAGTCCATGGCCGGCTGCTCCAAGGCGGGAGCATCATGGTGGACGGTGTGGGGAGGAGAGACGCTCCCGTCATGGTGGCCGGGAAGCAGGGAGAGAAGGGAGGAGTCGGGGACCAGAACACAGCTTAAAGAGGGGAACTCAGTGTGGATCAGGGGTGCAGAGGGTGCAGTCCATGGCCGGCTGCTCCAAGGCGGGAGCATCATGGTGGACGGTGTGGGGAGGAGAGACGCTCCCGTCATGGTGGCCGGGAAGCAGGGAGAGAAGGGAGGAGCCGGGCAGTGAGATGGAGCCCAACAGCTCCGAGGCCGTCAATGGGTGACGCTCAGATGACCGCAGCACCCTCAGCGTCCACTGATTTCTGCAGAAGCCCCCCAGGTCGTAGGGGACACCGTGTGCCCGAGTGTAGCCCGCCCCCCTGCTGATGGCGCCCGCAGCGCGTCCCAGGTGTGGGGCTCTGACGGGACCCCGGTTCTCCCTAGAGCGGATCCGGGCGGCTCCGGAAATCACAGCCGTGTTCCTGAACGTGGAGCGCATGGCCGCCCCCACCAAGGTACTGGGGGCCCACCACGCAGGGCGGGGTTGGTGGGACTCGGGGTGCAGGGTCGTGGGCGGCCGTGGCGGGGTCCTCCGTGCACCCAGCTGGCTTCTCTGCTCTGCAGAAGGAGCTGGAGGCGGCCTGGGCCGTGGAGGTGTTTGACCGCTTCACCGTGGTGCTGCACATATTCCGCTGCCACGCCCGCTCCAGGGAGGCCCGGCTGCAGGTGGCGCTGGCCGAGATCCCCCTGCTCAGGTGACCGCGTCGCTGGCCGGGACGCCCAAGGTCCCACGTACATGGGGCTCGCTCTGTTTCCACGTGTGGGTCGCTCCCGGGCTCCTGGAGGGGCGCGGGGTGCTGCCCGCTGCCCAGACTGCCCAGCCTCTCGGTGACCTGCCCCCCCATCAGGAACCCACACGGTGACCACAGGGCCCTGCCACGTGCAGGGCCAGGTCCCACGGCCGGCACCTCCCTCCCTCCTCCCTCCCTGGCTCTCAGCAAAGAATCCTTCACCCCCGTGCTCCGTCCCTGGGCTTTGCCATGGCTTGCTGGCAGGGACCCCCGATCTGGGCTGCTGACGGGGTCCCCTCTTGTGCTGACCAGGGCTAACCTGAAACACGGCACAGCTCACCTGGACAGACAGGGCGGGGGCTCCCGGTACATCATGGGGTCAGGTAAGCCGGGGCCGGGAGGCCAGGTGGGCCCTGGGGAACCCCATGTCCTGCAGGTCGGGGTGTGCCTGTGTCTGTCCGGCCTGCTGCTGGGTGAGCCACCGTGCCCAGAGGGTGGACCCAGAGGCTGAGTCCCCGGGGTAACCGAGGTGACCCCCATCCGGGGTGGTCCAGCAGTCCATGCGCACAAGAACCTCCTACCCGTGCAGAAGGGGCCGCTCCGCTGACCACGCAGGGGTCAGTCCATTATCAGCGTCCTGGTCAGTGCCCTCGTCCACGAAGCCAAGAGTGGCGGGCACATTAGGCTGTGAACTGTGGGTCAGGGCACCGCAGTGCAGCCTCCTCCAGGGCGGGGCAGGGGACGCTGTCCAGGAGCGGCCTCTCCAGCCACAGTCCCCAGTGGACTAAGCCGTGGTCCACGCCTGGGCTCCTCGCCCACAGCGTCACGCAGGACCGACCACGGCCCGTGAAGCAGCTAACGTGGACGGGACGGGCCAGTGGTCCCCTGGAGGGCCGGGTCCCCCCTGAGGGGCCGTCCCCAGTGGGCCCAGTCCTGACCCCCGTCCCCCCACCCAGGCGAGTCCCTCCTGCAGCAGCGGCAGCGGCTGCTCCGGGACCGGGAGCTGAGGATCCTCGGGGCGCTAGAGCGGCTGCGGGGGCGCCGGGCGCTGCTGCGGGGCCGGAGGGCACAGCGTGGGCTCCCGGCTGTGGCCGTCGTGGGCTACACCAACTGTGGTGAGGCTCGTCCTTCTGTCCCCCGTCCGTCCGTCCCCCTGTGTTTCTCTCCCTGTCCATCTGTCCATCCCCCGGACCCCAGTCCTGAGCCGCGTCCACCCCCAGGGAAAACCACGCTGATCCGCGCGCTGACCGGGACACGGCCGCGCAGCCCCGGGACCAGCTGTTCACCACGCTGGACGTCACGGCCCACGCCGGCTGGCTGCCCTCGCGCCTGCCCGTGCTCTACGTGGACACCGTGGGCTTCCTCTCCCAGCTGCCCCACGGCCTCATCCAGGCCTTCAACGCCACGCTGGACGACGTGGCCCACGCGGTGAGTGGGTGCGGTGCCCGGATGTGGGGGACCCCGGCCCGGCCCCAGACCCAGGGGGAACCTAGGGGTCCAGGCAGGGCTCGAAACCCGAGGGCGTCGCCAGAGCCCAGTGTCCCCAGCGTTGCACAGAGTGGACTCCTGGGCAGAACCCGCCCGCCCTGCCCCTTCCCGGGACATGAGTGGCCCTGGCTGCAGCTCCGTCACCGCGGCGTCCGTCCCCACGCCCCTTCTCCTCTGTGCCTCTGTCTCCCACGAGGACGCTGGTTTTGGAAGCAGGAGGCTGAGGCGGGAGCATCTCTTGCCTTCCGACCAGCCCGGACCACGCAGTGAGACCTTATTCTCAAAAAACAGTGAGACAGTTAAAAGCCGGGCGTGCCAGTCGGTGCCTGTAATCCCGGCTGGGCAGGAGGCCGAGGCGGGAGGGTCTCGAGTCCCATCCCAGCCTGAGAGTTGGGCAAGCCCCGCTCGGGGACGGGGAGCCCCCACTCAGTGCCCGCCCGGCCCCCGCCCCCAGGACGTGATCCTGCACGTGCGGGACGTCAGCCACCCCGAGCGCGAGCTGCAGAAGGCCAGCGTCCTCTCCGCCCTGCAGGGCCTGGGCCTGCCCGCCCAGCTGCTGGACTCGGTGGTCGAGGTGCACAACAAGGTGGACCGTGTGCCGGGGTAAGTGGGGCGCCCTGGGGAGCGGCCGGGTGCCCACGGCCCCCATCACACTCTGTCCCCTCCCTCCGCCCGCAGGTACAGCCCCCCGGAGCCCGGAGCGCTGGCCGTGTCCGCCCTGCACGGGCTGGGGCTGCCCCAGCTCAAGGCCAGGCTGGAGGCCGCGGTGCTGGCAGCCACCGGGAGGCAGCTCCGGACCCTGCGCGTGCCACTGGCCGGGCCGCAGCTCAGGTGGGCGACACAGCCGGCCGGCGGGAGGCTGAGGCGGGAGGGTCCCTGAGGCTGAGGCCTGACCCCTGCTCCCCTGTCCCGCGAGGCTCACGGGGTCCCCCCTTCCCAGCTGGCTGCACCGTGAGGCCACCGTGCAGGACGTGGCCGTGGAGCCCGAGGCCGGGGCTGCCCTGGTCACCGTGATCATCAGCAGTGCCGCCTACGGAAGGTTCCGCAAGCTCTTCCCAGAAAGTGCCACCAGGGAGCCGTCCTGACTCAGCCTCAGAGTGCAGCAGCCCAGGAGGCCTCCGTCCTCGTCCCTTCGAGGCAGCCGCTGCTCGGAGCCTACTGGGGGCCGAGAGCCGGGCCCAGGCACGGCCGGTGCCACTCGGAGGCTGAGGCAGGAGGATCGCTGTGAGCTCCAGGTGGCCTAGTGTGTCGCCCGGGTGCCGTCTCCCCCCCAGGAGGGCAGCAGCGTCCCCCGAACAGGACACGGGGGAGCCGAGTTCGGCACGGGGCCTCCGTGGAGGGCCGGACCCGGACACCCGAACTCTGGTCTGCTCTGAACTCCCGGGAAGGACAAAGTGGGCCAGCGTTTGGGCTCCTTTTATTTATTTAAATTCTGGTGTGGGGGGGAATAAAAAGTGCCAGTAACATCTCAGCAGCTGGCACCATGCTGTCCACCTAAAGGCTGCTCACCAGGGAGGCTGAGGCAGGAGGGTCTCCCTGCATGAGCCCCGGGTGACCGCGATCGTCCGAGGGGCGGGAGTGGAGCCGGCTCGAGCTCCCTGGGGCCGCGTCCCGTGTCCGCCCGCGTGGGCCGTGTCCAGCGTGGTCCTCCCGCTGCAGTCCGGCCTCAGCCCCAGAGCAGCTTCTGGTTGAGGCCGATGACGTCGGTCACGAAGGAGCCTGCGCCGATGAAGTCGCCCGCGATGATGTTGGTGCAGGACGGCCCCGGCCCGGGCCTCTGCTGGCGGACCCAGGCGTCCAGGGCCGGCAGCGCCGCGCGTGTCAGTGTCGCCAGGGACCCCGCCGGGTGCCACAGCGCGAAGCTGGGTGACGGGGACAGGTGCGCCCCGGCCACGAAGAGCCCACCTGGGGGGGACACGGGCCGCGGTGACACGGGCCACGCTGCACCCCGAGCCCGCGTGGGGTCGGCACCGCGTCCCGCTGCGTGGCACACGCATCACCCGGGCGCATGTGGGGCTGATGTGCGTGGGGGGTTGCCTTCCCCACGTGCGTGCAGGGGGCGTCAGGAACCCACGCGTGGACCGGATGCATGTGCGTGGATCGCCGGGAGGCGCACGCGTGTGCACGGTCCCCTGCATGCATTCATCTGCAGCAGGTGTGAGCAGGGGCCTGGTCCACGGTCACCTCAGTACCGCCGGACGTGGGGGAGCCGGGCCCAGGCCACAGCGGCAGTGTGAGCTCCCCCTCCCCCTTGCTGTCAGGCCCCATCCCCCCGTCCCCCCTCCCCCATTCCCATCCCCCCTCCCTTCTCCCCCCCCCCCGTCCCCACCCCTCCCCCATTCCCATCCCGCCTCCCGTCCCCACCCCTCCCCCATTACCATCCCCCCTCCCCCATTCCCATCCCCCCTCCCTCCCCCATTCCCATCCCCGCTCCCTCCACTTCCCCCGTCCCCACCCCTCCCCCATTCCCATCCCCCCTCCCCCACCCCTCCCCCATTCCCATCCCCCCTCCGTCCCCTTCCCCCGTCCCCACCCCTCCCCCACTCCCACCCCCCTCCCCCATTCCCATCCCCCCTCCCCCCGTCCCCACTCCTCCCCCATTCCCACCCCCCTCCCTCCCCCTCCCCCCTCCCCTCCCCCCACCTGGGCGGCCGCAGCTCCTCCTGCTGTCCAGGAAGCTGCCCAGCTCCTCCCCCTTCACCTCGGCGCCCGTCCAGCGGGGGAGGCCGGGCCACAGCTCCGGGTGCCGCGACACCGCCGCCTCGTCCTCGTAGGACACCAGGACCTGCTGGCCGCGCGCCCACAGCTGCCGCAGCGTGGGGATCTCCTGCGGGGCGCGGGGCTCAGCCGGACGGACCCAGGGGTCCCCCCCACACCCCTGTCCCATGTGAACCCCTGTCCCCACCGACCCCACCCTACCCCGCGGGGGCACAGCCGCGCCCCGAAGATGTTGCCCACGCAGGCGACCAGGTAGTCGTGCAGCTCCGCGCTGAGCCCCTCGAAGCCCCTGCACCCCAGGACCACGGCCTCGCGTGGGTGCAGCTCCAGCCACTCGCAGACGTCCGTGAGTGCGTCCTGGGGGGACATGCGCTGGGGCCGGGCCTGCACACACCCCCCCGCCCCGAGTCCCCGTGGGCCCTGTTCCCCCCCAGTCCCCGTGCCCCCCGCGGGCCCCGTCCCCCCGAGTCCCCGTGCCCCCCGCGGGCCCCGCCCCCCCGAGTCCCTTTGACCCCCGTGGGTCCCGTCCCCCTGGGGTCCCGTCCCCCCGAGTGTCCGCGGGCCACACCTCCACCAGCGCGGCCGAGTACACCGTGTGCTCGAAGCGCAGGCTCCGCTCCCCGCCGCCCGGCGTGTGCGCCACGCACAGGTCCAAGAAGCGCGCGCCCGCGTCCAGCTGCCCAGCCACGTCCAGCGTCTGCGGACACAGCAAGCTCAGCGCTGCAGGCGCGGCCACGCCCACAGCCCCGCCCAGTTTCGGGCCCCGCCCACACCACGCCTCCTGCATGGCCCCGCCCCTACCATGCCCTGGCTCCGCCCACACCACGCTCTGGGCCCGCCCCCTGCTGGGCACAGCACACACACACCACCGCCCCCTCCATCCCACCCCACCCCACCCCACCCCGCCCCCTCCACCCCACCCCGCACCTGCGTGGCCGCCCACCGCAGCACCACGGGCCGCGTGACGCAGGGCAGCGCCTTGCTGAGGACGCGCAGCACTTTGGGCTGCGTGGGGGACACGGGTGACTCCCGGCTCAGGCTGTAGCTCATGGTGTCGTGGCTGCCTGTGGGGACACGGGGGGGGGGGTGCAGGGACGTCACCTCCTCTCTCTCGGGCCGCGTGGACCCCGCCCGCCAGCTTCGTGGACCAGGGCCCGAGATCCGCGTAGGATCCCAAAAGGAGACCCTCCTGCCTCGGCCTCCTCCTGCCTCGGCCTCCTGAGTTGAGCGGCGGGGCCCTGGGGAGACTAAGAGCGGGGACGCAGGCGCGGAGGAGCAGCCGCGTGGAGGCAGGGACCGGAGCCCTGAGCTGCCGGGAGCCCCGGGAAGAGGCCGAGGCGGGAGGGTCTCCCCGGAACCCCTCCATCTGGGCCCTTTGGCTGGGGATGAGTGTGCACACGCTGTCACGTGTTCTGAACTGTTTTAGAGGAGGTCGCACGACGTGCCCCAAGCTGGCCTGGCACTCAGGGGACCTCCTGCCTCAGCCTCCAGGCCCAGCACAGATTTCCGGGGTGCCTTCACCCCGCCCTCACCGGGGATGGCCAGGTGGTGCAGCGGGACGTCCCACAGCCGCGGGCACAGCTCCGACATCCAGTCCGCGTGGGCCCCGGAGCCCGGCTGGGTCCCGAAGATGCCCGGGGCGCTGCGCTGTCTGGCCATGGAGATTTCGATGCAGCTGCTGGAACCTGGGCAGACACCGAGGGCCCCGCGTTAACGCGCTGGTCACCGCGGCCGGAAGGGGACGCGGTGGGATCGAGGAGTTCCTGGGCGAAGGACAGTCATGAGCAGAACTGTGTTCCTGAAGGTTCATTGATTGACTCTCCGACTTCCAAGACTTCAGACGACCCAAATTCTAACTCTCTTGCAGTCGTCCCGTGAGTCCGCACGTGGTGCATGCATCGATGAACCTCTTTGCCTTATTCCTGTTCATCTGTCCCTACACCCTCAGTGGGAGGTAGCTGAATGAATAACCAACCTCTCTTCCTCCCGCCAAGACCCCACATTCTGGCATGTCTGTCTACCATGTTGGCGGTTCCTGCAGGGGAAGTCCGCGTGGAAACTCAAACCTAACAGGCCCTGCCCGACCCTGCCACGGCCCCAGCGCCTCCTCCTTGGGGAATAAAGGCGCCCCGGCTTCTCTCCCCCGGCTTCTATCTGACTGAGCCTGGACTGACAAAAGGGCCGTCCGGAACTGGGGAGACTTGGAAAGAGGATCGTTCTGAGTTCAAGACCAGCCTGGGCTGCATAGTGAGACCCTCTCAGAAAGACAAAAATATTTTAAAAAATAAAACCGAGAGGCTGAGCCGGGCGTGGAGGAGCACGCCTGTCATCCCAGGCCTCGGGAGGCTGCGGCAGGAGGGTCTCCAGAAGTTCCAGGCCAACCAACAAGCAAACAATGAAACTCCAGAGAGAGGCGCATTCAAGGCTGGGCCGCCGCGGCATCCTGACCAGGAGGGACGGGGCAGAGATTGGCAGTGGATGGCGGCCTGACAGCGCCTCGGGGGGGGTGGGGGAGATTGGGAGTGGGGGTGGGTGGAGGGTGAGAAAGACCCTTTCCATGGCAACAGGCTCCTCCCCATAGCAACAGGCCCCTCCCCAAGGCCGCAGCCCCCTATGGCAACAGGCTCCTCCCCATAGCAACAGCCCCTCCTATGACAACCGGTTCCTCTCCATAGTAACAGGCTCCTCCCCATGGCAACAGCCCCTCCTATTAGCAAGGGGCTCCTCCCCATGGTGACAGGCTCCTCCCATAGCAACAGGCTCCTCCCCAGAGCAATAGGCCCCTCCCCGTGGCCACAGTCCCCTCCTATGGCCACAGGTTCCTCTCCATAGCAACAGGCTCCTCCCCATGGCAACAGCCCCTCCTATTAGCAAGGGGCTCCTCCTCCCATAGCAACAGACTCCTCCGCATGGCCACAGCTCCATCCCATAGCAACAGGCCGCCCCTTCCCATAGCGACGGGCTCCTTCCCAGGGCAACACCCCCTTCCCCTAAGGGACCTCCCCCTCCCAGCTGGAGTGTCTCCCACAGCCCCATCTCGGCAGAGCTACGTCCACCGGGACACTGAGCTCTGGGACATGTTAGGATTAGGGTTAGAAGGCCGGGGCTCCGGGGCTGGGTCCCTGTGCCCTGGACGACCCCAGACCCAGGGCTCAGACAGCCAGACAGCCAGGGAGCCTGCAGAAGGGACGGCCGAGCCCCACTCACCCCGTGCAAGACCAGGGCCTCGCGGCCCCTGGACCAGGAGGCTGGCAGGATGGGGCGGGGGACGCGGGGAAGGAGGTGGCCGCGCCGTGGGCAGCACTGTGACCCTGCTGGGCCGCTCATAGCCATCCTGCTCCACCACGGAAGGGACCACGCTCAGGACGGGGATGGGTGACAGAGGGGAGACAGGTGGGGGGACAGATAAGGGGACAGCAGAGGATGGGGGACAGATGGGTGGGAGACAACGGGGGACAATGGAGGACAGGTGAGGGACTGGTGGGGGACAGATGAGAGACAGTGGGAGACAGCTGAGGGACAGGTGGGAAACAGCGGGGCACAGGTGGGGGACAGGTGTGGGAACAGGTGTGAGGACAGGTGCGGACGGCAGGGGACAGGTGTGGGGACAGCGGGGCACAGGTGGGGGACAACTATGGGGACAGCGGGAGACAGGTGGGGGACAACGGGGCACAGGTGGGGGACAGCGGGGCACAGGTGGGGGACAGGTATGAGGACAGCAGGAGACAGGTGGGGGACAGGTGTGAGGACAGGTGCGTACGGCAGGGGACAGGTGTGGAGACAGCGGGGCACAGGTGGGGGACAACTATGGGGATGGTGGGGGACAGGTGTGAGGACAGCAGGAGACAGGTGGGGGACAGGTGTGGGAACAGGTGTGAGGACAGGTGCGGCACGGCAGGGGACAGGTGTGGAGACAGCGGGGCACAGGTGGGGGAACAGGTGTGAGGACAGCAGGAGACAGGTGGGGGACAGGTGTGGGAACAGGTGGGAAACAGCAGGGCACAGGTGGGGGACAGGTGTGGGAACAGCAGGGCACAGGTGGGGGACAGGTGTGGGGGCAGCAGGGGACACTAGTGACCCTGACCCCAGGAGGCGGCTGTGCCCCCCACGTCCCCCCATTACCCCCGTGTCCCGCTCACCCCCTGTCCCCGTCTCTCTGCCGCTGTCGCCCAGGATCCGCACCCGCACCGGGGACAATGAGGCCGCCCTGTGTGCCATCCCGGGCTCCGCTTCTTGTGGCCGGGGCTTGGGACCCGCCAGGCCGCAATCCCCGCGTTGCCCGGCCTCCCTTTCCGGGGCGGGCACCACATTCCAGGGCCCTGAGTCCGGAGGACAAGCCGGCCTGCACCCCGCCACCTCGTCACCCCCATGGCCTCTGTCACCTGTGTCACCTCCGTCCCTAGCTGGGTGGACCTGGGCTGCAGGGGAGGGACAGCAGGGCGGGACAGGGCCGGCAGGCAGCTCACTGGGCGCAGCCTGGCCCTGGAGCCCCGGGGTGCCCCCAGCCCCCAGCACCCCTTCCCCTCCCCTCCCTCCCCTCCCCCTTCCCCCTCCCCCCTCCCCCATCGGCTCCTCTGCATTCATCCCCAGCGCGGGAGGCTGAGGCGGGCGGGCTGCCCAGAGCACAAGGCCAGCCGAGCCCTGAAGGAGGCGTGGAGGAAGCCAGGAAGGAAGCCATGGAGGACCCGGGACGGGCGCGCTGGTTCCCAGTCCAGGAACCCCAGGGCCCGCCCTGAGGCGGCTGAGGTCACCGGGCCACAGCAGCCCCGCCCGGGGCCAGCATCTCCTCCGACACCGCTGGCTTGTGACACTGGCTCTGACCTTGTCCTTACCCTAACCTTCCTCACAGCCTCCAGGAGGGCTGGCCGGCCGGAGACCCTCCCGCCTCAGCCTAGCCGGGCGGGGGCCGTGTGGTCCCCGAGGTGGCCCAGCACCGTCTGAGGTCCCCTGTCACCCTGGTCTCACCCTGGTTCCTGAGACACGGTCTCACCACGCAGCTCCGTCTGGCCTCCCGCTCCTGGCGACCCTCCCGCCTCAGCCTCCCGGTGCTGGCATGAGGCTTTGGGGGGGTCTTGTTGCCTTGTTGATGTGGCTGTTTTTTGTCTTTTTGAGACAGGGACTCACTCTGTAGCCCGGCTGGCCTCCACCCCTGGGGGACCCCCTGCCTCAGCCTCCAGAGTTAGCATGAGCTAACCTGAGCTTCGCTGCAAAGCCCCCAGGCTGCTGTCACCTTGTGCGGGGCTTTCTGAGACAGGTCTCACTGTGCAGTGCCGGCTGGCCTGAAGTTCACGGTGTAACCCTCTAGGTTGCCCTCGAACTCACAGTGACCCTCCTGCCTCAGCCTCCCCAGGGCAGGGATGACAGGCACGCCGGGCCCCGCCCAGCGAGTACGGTATTTTCTGAAAGGCCCCGCAGACAGCAGCACCAACAGACAACACCAATGCCGTCGCCACCCGCTGTGTCTGGAACCCCAGCTCACCTCGGTTATTTCTTGAGGTTTTAAACATTTGGCGTGAGATTGCTGCACCGTGAAGGTCCCAGCGTGAAGTGGTGGCTCAGGAGCGGGTGTCCCTGCGGGTGGTAGGCCTTGGCTCTGTGTCCCCTCCCAGCCTGGGACCCCAAATTCGCTTCCCATCTCTGCATCTGCCTCTTCCCCACCTTGCACGGCAACGGAATCACACTCTGTGCCCTTCTATGTCTGGCACCTCTCAGCAAGCATCTAGTGCCCCAGGTCCAGCCGTGCTGTGGTCACTGTCAAAGCTCTCCTTTTCCTGGTTGCGTAATATTCCGTCCATGCATCCATCCAAGCATCCACAGGACTGGATCCGTCTATGAAGAGTCAAGAAGGACAGACACGAGCCAAGACAAAGGTTCCCTCCTAGCTGCTCCACTGCAAGAGGCTGCGGGGCCCCGAGAAACATTTCGGGGCCTCCTAGAGGGGCGGAGGTGTGCCTCATCCTCAAAAGGAGGTGCTAAGGGGGCCCGAGTCCTCTGCTCCCTGTTGGAACCAGGAAAGCTGTATATGAACCCATATGCTGAGTCTGGTTTCTCGAGACGGGCTCTCCCCTGCAGCCCAGGCCGGCCCTGATTCTCGAGGGTCTTCCTGCCTCAGCCTCCGGGTGCACCACCCCGCCCGGCATGAGACAAGGCCTGAGACTCACACTCACCTCACGGCCACGAGGATCCACAGCAGAACCACCTCTGACCACGCCCACAACCTGGCCCCGCCCTTCCCTCAGGCATCATGCAACGACCCCGCCCAATCCCACAGGAACCCCGCCCAGCAGGCCACGCCCATAGCTGCTGCCTCCGCCCTCTACTTGGCGGCCCCGCCCCTCCTCAGCCTCCTTTCCGGCAGCCCCGCCCTTCTCGACCTCGCACCTATAGGATGACCACGCCCCTCCACAGCCGTCACTCAGCGGCCCCGCCCTTAACCACGCCCCTGCCTAGTGCCCCGCCCCCACGCCCGGCCCCGCCCCTTCTGAGGCCCTGCCTCTCCCCTGGCCCCATCCGAGTGGCCCCGCCCCTCCACCCTCGCAGCCGACCGTGACCCCACTGTCCCCCAGTGTCCTCCCTACCCCGCCACCCCTTCGCTCCCGCCTCTGCCCTTTCCCTAGCCCGCACCCCTCTGCAACTCAGGCCCGCACCATCCCTCCTCAGCCCAGAGCGGCTCCGCACCGCCCCTTTCACCTCCCTCCTCACGCTCGGCTCTTTCCGTGGCCCTTCGGCCCTCTCCGCACACGCGGGCTGCTCCCGAGGGCTCTCGGCTCTCTTCGTCATGGCTCTTCAGCCATCCCGGCTCTTCCCGTCACCGCTCGGCACTCTCCGCACACACTCGGCTCTCCACCGCCGAGCCTTCAGCCAGCCTCGGTGCTCGCCGCCCCAGAGCCTTCTGTCGGTGCGGCGTCCGGCGGGTGCGCCCCGTGGGGCTCCGAGAGCACCTACCTGCCTTCACCCCTAGAGTTGCTCGGGTGCTGGAGAGCCTGTGGCTTGGGGCGGCGTCTGTCCTCTCACCGCTCACCTGAATGTCCGAGCAGACCCACCACCCCCGTGGGAGGGCACGCCTGTCATCCCAGCACTCGGGAGGCTGAGGCAGGAGGAGCCTCAAGAGTTCGAGGCCAGCCTGGGCTACAAAGTGAACTCAAGACCAGCCTGAACTGCATAAAGGGAGATCCTGCCTTCCAAAAGACAAAAATAGGGCTGGGGATTTAGCTCAGTGACATAAGTGCCTGCCTTGCAAGCGCGTGGCCGTGAGTTCGATCCCCAGTACCAAAAAATAAATAAATAAAAGACAAAAATAAATAAATACAAATTTTTTTTTAAAAAATGCAACCTCAGGGGCTAGGGATTTAGCTCAGCGGCATAAGTGCCTGCCTTGCAAGCAGGCAGTCGTGAGTTCGATCCCCGTTACCCATAAAAAAAAGACAAAAAAAAAAAATGCAA